CCCAACCAGACCCTCCTCCCTCGGACCCTCCACCCTAGCTAGTCAGACCCTCCTCCCTTGGACACCCGCAGACCCTCTTCACCAGGGTCCTCTGCCCCCCAGCAAGACCCTCCTCCCTCGGACCCCTACCCAGGCCAGACCCTCCTCCTCTAGACCTGTCTCTCCTAGCCTTCTTGGCCACCCTTCACATCCCATATGCTTCCTGGCCACCCCTCCTTCTCTACTAGACCTCCCAAACTCGACCTTCCTGTTTCCTAGACCCCCCAGCTACATCTTCCTAATCCTTGTCCCTCCCTTATAGCTCTCAATCCAGACCTTAGGATCATGACCATAGCTAAGTCAGCAGGCATTTTTTAAATTCTCCCTATGTGCCAGTTACTATGCTAGCCCTGGGGATGCAAAGAAAGGCAAACAACAGGTGCCTGCCCCTTCAGGCCTCACAAGGATCACCTATTTAGACCTAGAAGGGATCTTAAAGACAATCCAGTCCAACTTCCCCGTTTCAGAGACTGGGAATTTAGGCCAATGTCACACACCTAGCAAAGGTCTGGGGCAGGATTCGAAGCCAGAGCTGATCCCCTGCCCTTTGAACATTCTTCATCCAGAACTTCCCTCTCCCCCATGTCCCTCATTCCCCAAGAGACTATAAACTCCATGAGGCAAAGACAGCAGATTTCTCTTTGTATTCACAGCAGCTAACTGTGTCTGGAACAGGGGTGGGACACCTTTGGTCTCTAGGCCATGTGTCACCCTCTAGGTCCTCAAGCATGGCTCTTTGACTGAATCCAAACTTCACAGAATAAAAGGTAACACTTGGACTCAGACAAAATGCTGCAGAACCCAGGAAAGGCTCTTGCTTCTCACTATCCATACTCCAAATGCCTGAAAACTCATAGTTAGAGCTTCATTTCTTTAGCTCAAGTGAAGGAGGCATCACTGAATAGGGAGAAAACTCAGAACAAGGATTCTAGGTGTACCTACCACAATCTTTGCCCATGTTGAAATTTGGCTGGAGGTTTACAGATCTCTTCCCAAATGAAATTCTCTTCTCTCTCTATCTCTGTCTCTCTCTCTCTCTGTCTCTCTCTCTCTCTCAAATGTGAGAACCATATAACAAACTTCTTACTTACTACTTCCTGGGACTTCCTACAGTGTCCCACTTTTTCCATTTTTTCCGGTGGCCAGTTGGACATCTCCACTTGGACGTCCAGGAGACATCTCCAACTCGGCATATCCCAAACAGAACTCATTCCCTTCCCCCCACCAATCCCCTTTCTCAGACCTTTCTTCTTTTTGTTATGAGCATCAGCGCCCTTCCGTTTCACCCAGGTTTGCAACCTAAGTGTCATCCTAATGCCTCACTGCCCTTCACCCTACCAGAGCCAAGGAGTTGTCAATGTCCAAAACTTGTCAGTTCTTTCTCCGAGAAGTCTTTCACATCGATCCATCTTGTCCATCCATTCATAGTATTCTAATGCAGGTTTCTTTCTTTTTTTTTTTTTTTGTCCTTGTGTACCAGGTGTATACCAGGTAGAAGTGTACCAGCACTTAAGTCAATTCAGCAAACATTTTTAAAATACCTACTATGTGCCAGGCCCTGCACTAAAAGAGAAGGGGCGGCTAGGTGGCACCAAGGTGCATAGAGCATCTTCCTGAAATCAAGGAGACCTGAATTCAAATTCAACCTTAGAAACTTACTAGTTGGGTGACCCTGGCCAAGTCACTTAAACCTGTTTGCCTCAGTTTCCTCATGTATAAAATGAGCTGGAGAAGGAAATGGCAAACCACTCCAATATCTTTACAAAGAAAACCCCAAATTGTGTCGTGGAGAGTCCAACTTGCCTGAAAAATGACTGAACAACAACAAAAAAGACAAGATAGTCCCTGTTATCAAGAAGGTCTCAGTCTAATGGAGGAGACGATATGTAAACAACTACGTTTGCAACTATCCAAACAAATGATAAATACAGGATAGATCTGGGACAATCTCAGAGGGAAAACATTAGCTTTTAGGGGCTTCTCAAAGACTTATTGGAGAAGGTAGTATTTTAGCTGGGACACGGGGTGGTGTCTGGCACTAGACTGTTGAGTCAGCTGGGTGTCACAGTGGGATAGAACTCTGGGCCTGCAGTCAGGAAGACCTGAGTTCAAGTTTAGCCTCAGACACTAGCTGTGTGGCCCCGGGCAAGTCACTTAACCTTTGTCTGCCTCAGTTTCCTCCTAAGTACTATAAAGGGAAGAAATAATAACTCCCAGAGTTGTTGTAAGGATCAAATGAGATATGTATAATGCCTTAGCACAGTGTCTGGCACACAGGAGGCCCTTAATAAATGCTTATTCTCTCCTTCCCGAGTAAGAGTCAGAAGAGATGAATAATGATGGGTGTTGAGTTCTGTGGGAGGGGTACTGAAGCAGGTGCTGGCGCACGGTAAACACTTTAATAAATGTTGGTGATTGATTGAGCCAGGTCTTTATTACCTCTTGGCAGGTGGTCTCTCTGAAGTAGGCTCATTGTTTTATCTCCTTCCAGGTCTCTTCTCTCTCCAATCCATCTTCCACAAAATGGATAAAATCAGTCTTGACCAATCACTGCCCTAGCCCAAGAAACTTCAGTTTTCAGTGGTGTCTGACTCTTCGTGACTCCATTTGGGATTTCTTGGCAGAGATACTGGCGTGGCTTGTCGTTTCCTTCCCCAGTTCATTTTACAAATGAGGAAACTGAGGCAAGGAGAGTTAAGTGACTTGCCCAGGGTCCCTCAGGTAGTTAGTGTCTGAGGCTGAATTTGAACTCGGGGAGATGAGTCTTCCTGACTCTAGGTCCAGCACTCTATCCATTGCACCACTTAGCTGCCCTATTTTTTAGTTACTTACATATGTGTGTTTATGTGTATGTGTATGTGTATGTCTTCTTCTCCTTCCCATAGGAGAATGAAAGTTCCTTGAAGGCAGGAACCATTAAAATTTTAAACCATTAAAATTTTCCTTTTTTTTGTCTTTGTATTACCACTGCCCGGTATAGGCACTAGCCTGGCATAAATAGGAAATTTTACAAGTGCTTCATTAGTTGAGTTGAGTTGAATTTGGTATCTCTTCCACTGGACAGAAGAAGTAGGTTGAGATAATGGAGAAGGATTAAGCCAGTGGAAGACAAAGATATAATAAAAGTGAGAATGTCGAAGGAAGGGATATTTTCTAAATACACCCTAAATATCCCTCCCTTTGACATTCTCACTTTTATTATATCTTTGTCCAACCTTAAGATCTTTCTCCTTATTGAGCTCATTCCCCGACATCTCCCTTCCCTTCCAGATTCTCACTCTCATATTTTCTTCCCTTTCAACCTCAAAACCTCTCTCTTTATTGCTTTTATTCCTTGTAATGTCCCTTTCCTCCCTCCCCCGCCTCCACCCTTCCTTCTCCTTTCTATCCCCACAGTTTTAATGACCATTTTAAGCACCCTTCCCTCCTCCACTTTGTAAACCCAGCTCAGATTCCTTTTTCTCTGATCCCCCAAGTCACAAATGGCTTTACCTTTTTTTGTCCCTGACCTAGTTTTTTGTGTGGGCCCATTTCAAATGCTAACCACATTGTTTTATACTATAGGTATGCTTGTATAGGTGGTATCTGGCCACTAGACTGTAAGCTCCATGAAAGTAGGTCCCTTATTATTATTTAATAGCTCTTTCTCCCCTAGGACCAAGCGCTGCATTTAGAAGACATTCCATAAATATTTGCTAAACCAAGTGCCAATCCCCAATTGCCCTAAATTTCTTCTCCTGGAATCTCTGGCAGCTTTCCTGAGTTCTTCCAAAAATCTTCCATGTCCTCCACCCCCAGCATTGCTATAAAATTATCAAGATCTCTCTAGCTGGCTGAATTCTGAAGTCCTCCCACTCCCCATCCCAACCCTTGGCCCACCTCAGCCCCACCCACTTCTCCTCCACGTATCATTCAGCACCCCACCCACACCCATCTCATAGAACCTGCTTCCACACCTGCACACCCCGTGCCCGGTTACCTGCCAAGTCTCCCACACATTCCCGTGCAGATGTCACTTTGTATCAGACACTGCCTCAACTGGTCCTTGAACCTAGGAGCCATCCACAGCACAAAGAGGGTAGTACTTTATAATTGGCTATTACTTAATATCAGTCAGTCAGTCAATAAAACATTTATTAAGTGACTGCTGTGTGCAAAGGACTGTCTAAACACCTTAAGGACAAGAAGAGGCAAAAGATGGTTCCTTCCCTCAAGGAGCTCACAGTCTAATGGGTCAGACAACAAATAAGCAAATGCATACAAACAAGCCATACTCAGGATAAATAGGAAATAATAAACAGAAGGAAGGCACTAGAATTAAGGGAGGAAGAGCCTTCCTGTAGAAGATGGGCTTTTTGTTGAGACTTAGAGGAAGCCAGGGAGGTCAGCAGTCAGAGTAGGGGAGGGAGAGAA